TGTGTCTCTCACGAAGAAATAAAATTAAAAACTTAAAAATAAATAAATCTATCTTGATTGGGTGATAGTTTCAAAGGTTTATGCATGTCAAAGTTATCGATGTATATACTTTAAGTACATGCTGTTTATAGTGTCAATTTTACCTATAAAAAGTTTTTTTTGGGGGGAGATCCTTGGGTGGCTCAGCAGTTTAGCGCCTGCCTTCAGCCCAGGGGGTGATCCTTGGGAGTCCTGGGATCGCGTCCCACATCAGGCTCCCTGCACGGAGCCTGCTTCTCCCTCTGCCTGTGTCTTCTTCCTCTCTCTCTCATAAATCAATCAATCAATCAATCTTTTTAAAAAAGTTTTTTTTTTTTTTTCTAAGTAAAAGAAATGGAGGCACTTGGCTGGCTCATTCAGAGGACCATGTGACTCTTGATCTCTGAGCTGTAAGTCTGAGCCCCATAGTGTAGAGATTATAAATCAAAATAAATAAATATATAAAAACTTTTACAAATAACATAAACGATGTAGTTCAGTGTTTCATTCAAGTCCCCCCCTCGGATTTTTTTTTTAAAGATTTTCTTTGAGAGAGAAAGAACATGAGAGATTATACACAAGTGGGGGGGAGGGGCAGAGGGAGAGGGAAAAGCAGATTCCTTGCTGAGTGGGGAGCCTGATGTGGGACTCCATCCTAGGAGCCCAGGATCATGACCCAAGCAGAAGGCAGACATTCAATCAACTGAGCCACCCAGGCACCCTCAAGTCTCGATTTCTTTCTTTTTTTAAGTCTCAGATTTCTAAGTGTTTTCTTAACACTTAAAAAATTTTCATATATATCAATGCATTTTATTCTTAAACCTTCTCAGAAAAAAAAAAAACCTTCTCAGCATGAAAGGGACTGAGTAGCTACAATTTTTCCTCTCTGAACTTGAAATGACAGAAGTACTTGTGGGTTAAGCAGCTTCCTCAAAGTGCCAAAGGCAAATGTGAAGAGAATATTTTAATTCTTATTCCTAGTCCCTACTCTTTTCACTCTAACGGACAAAATTTTTTCTTGCTCTGACAATGATTAACAATATTAGGGGAGGGACTATGGAGGAAAAAAAGACTAGACTGAACCAATTATTGTTGATAAAAGAAGAGATAAGGGATGCCTGGGTGACTCAGTGGTTGAGTGTCTGCCTTTGGCTCAGGTCCTGATCTCGGAGAGGGTCCCAAATCAGGCTCTCCACAGGGAGCCTATTTCTCCCACTGCCTATGTCTTTGTCTCTGTGTCTCTCATGAACAGATAAATAATCCAATCTTTAAAAAATGAAAAAGAGAAAACGAGAAATGAGAACAGAAAATAAGGGATACTCAGTACAAGAATGGCTGAAATATTCATTAATCCTATCTTAACTCAGGAGAGGCTATGTACTAGGCTCTTGCTAAATGCTGGGAACACAGTTATCAACATCACTGACAGGCAGCCCCGGTAGCTCAGCGGTTTGGCGCCGTCTTCAGCCCAGGGCATGATCCTGGAGACCCAGGATCGAATCCCACATTGGGCTCCCTGCATGGGGCCTGCTTCTCCCTCTGCCTGTATCTCTGCCTCTCTCTCTCTCTTGTCTCTCATGAATAAATAAATAAAATACTAAAAACAATAACAAAAACAAAACAAAACAAAACAACATCACTGGCCCCTTCCTAAAATTTGAAGTTCAGTAGGGAAGAAAAACATTCAACAAATATACAAACTATTATATAATTACAACTGTGATAAAAAAACAAGAAATATCACAGAATGTAATAAACATGTGCCACAGCACATTTTTCATAGTACAAAATGTGACATATTTGTGGTAATGAGCAATTTTTTTTTTAACTCTTTTAGTTCTTCAGGGGTCAACTCAGTAAGTCATCCCTTTCCCCGATTCCTAAACCCACATCATCAGAGTAAGGCAACTCTTTACTAAGATTCTATGTCTGTGCTTAGCTTTATCATAAAATTTACCTGTTTGGAAATTGTATAGTCATATTTCCCCCACTGGATGTTGAGCTCCTTCAAGGCTGGGCTTCTGACACTTGTTATAATGCCCTATACTTGCCACTCATTTAGAAATAATCGCAAGGTGCCTAAATTTCAAATTCTAGGCTGCTAAACACTGAATTTATTCATTTAACCATCTATCCATCCACAGGCATCCATTCAGTGTCTAGGACCCATAACACAATAAATGTGAATTATTTTGTTGCACCTTAAATCAGTAATCAGTGCCTTTGAAAAATATGCTGCTGCAATTGCCCTCTGTATACACCCAAATAGTATTTTCCTTTTTTACTTTCAAATACAGGCATTTAAGTCTACATTCTCTCAGATAGATGAACTTAGAAATCCATCTTCCTACCATCATGTCGGAAAAAAGTTGGATTTTTTTTTTTTTTAAAGATTTCATTTATTTATTCATAAGAGACGGGGCGGGGGGTGGCAGAGACATAGGCAGAGGGAGAAGCATGTTCCCCTGCGGGGGACCCTAACACGGGACCCTGATCCCAGGACTCCAGGATCTTGACCTGAGCTAAAGGCAGAGGCTCAACCACTGCCTCTCAGGCGTTCTACCAGAAAGTTTGCTATTAAGATGTTTTGGTTTTTTTCTAAGTTGACAGTGAAATGGGTATGGACAATCCCAGCAGGAAACCCCACCTTACAAAGTTGCAGTGGTGCAAAAACTGATATAAAGTAATGATCTTGACAGTTTCCCTTTTTGTTGTGACCAAAAGATCCAGCAACCTTCAGCTGTCAAATGGCAGTGAGCCACCACAACTGGTAGTTAGTATCTTTATGACACTACACAGATCAAAACTTTGAGCCCAGGGATCCCTGAGTGGCTCAGGTTAGCACCTGCCTTCGGCCCAGGGCATGATCCTGGGGCCCCGGATGGAGTCCCACATGGGGCTCCCTGCAGGGAGCCTGCTTCTCCCTCTGCCTGTGTCCCTGCCTCTCTGTGTGTGTTTGTCATGAATAAATAAAATCTTAAGACAAAACAAAACTCTGAGCCCAGACAAGAAACTGCGTATTTGCTATACAGGTTAGATAGTTTTAAACAACTCCAGAGTCACTTTCTTTTGATCTCTTGGAATACAAAATGCTGAACTGAACTTAAGAAAATTAACTCAGCAACACCAAATGAGGCTTCCAAATGACTTACTTTCTCCTGAAAGTAGTTTGCTGACAAGTTATAAATTTCCACAGTGCCATCTGTTCGAGAAACAGCCAATCTGTTTGACTGGTTATTGTAAGCCACGCAGCGGATCCCTGATGGAACATAATTAAAGAAACGTACTCGATGGACCTTAAATTCACCCATTCCTGGGAGGGGGGAAAAAAGAGCCATTATTGTTAAACGCTAACAACAGTATGTCACATGTATTGTTTCTTCTTGTCAACAGCAGTATGTCACGTGTACTACTTATCATCACTGTCCTGGATGGAAGAGTCCAACTGTGTCTCACTGAGGTTCACTTCTAAATATCTAGTTAATGATGCTTTCGAAAACACCCCAAGCAAGGAGCTATGAAACCATCTCCAGAAGCTCGGGATGCTTCAGCTAAAAATGAGAACATCAACATACGTGAAGAACATGCCCCAGACTCCTAACAATCCTGCCAATTACCTTAAGAAAGTACTCTGGGAAAGAGGTAAGAGTGAACGTAGCCTCATTCTGTAAGCCGGTGTGTGCACCGAAGGAAAGGAGGCACATCGTGCAAACCAGCTGTATTCGAGGCAGAAACTAAGGGAACCCCGTTCTATTTTCTGTGCGAGGTTTCTTGGCGGGGGTGGGGGGCGGGAGTTGTGAAGAGGAGGCTAACTCCCCCCCGCACACACGCAAGAAGCAAGAAGTACTGGCAACCTAAATCAGCCTCTCAGAGTCAGGTGCGCAGAACTCCTGCCATTAAAATCATCTGGATAAATGGCTTTTAAAAACGCAGGATTCTGGGTTCTACTCCACAGCTCCAGAATTCCAGTCTCTCGGTTGTGGAGAGTAGGGGGGGAGGGGGAGACTCGGAGGAGTCTGCATTTTCGCGAACAGCTCTCCCTAACTTCACAGCACGCTAAGTTCGCAAATTACAGACCCACTAAGGTAGCGCCAGGGAGGCTGACGGGGCAGGCAGAACCAAGAGCTCCTCAAGGGAAGGAAGCGACGGGACTCAGCCTGGCGCCTGTCACCGTCGCCCGCCTCGCCCCGCCACAAGCCTACACCTTCCGCGAGGAGAGCGGCCGGCTCCGGCTCGCCCCTCACGCGTCGTCCTTCAGGGTTTGGAACCTGCGGGCAGGACAGGCGCGCCCGGCCCGGCCCGGCTGAGGGGGCGTCGGAAGCGCGCGCTGCCACTCCGCCGGGCATCTACGGAGTAGCCGCCCCCCCCCGCCCCGGCCTCGGCCTCGGCCCAAGAACCGCGCGCTCCGCCGGCGTCACCAGGGGCAGGCAGCACCCCGCCGAAGTCCTCTCGTACCCCTTCCCCAACTCACCGACGGACGGGGGCTCGCCTCTCTCTGCCGCGGCCCCACGTGCGCGCGCGCTCGCGTGCTCTGCCCCGGAAGTGCTCGCGGCGCAAGGCCGGAAGTGCGCAGGCAGTGCTCGCGGCGGCGGCGACGGCGGCGGGAGGTTCGGTTGTCGCCCGTTGGCCGCGCGGCGCCGCGCTCGGCGGCCGCCATTGCAGGTCAGGCCGCGGGCGGGGGGCGCGGGAGGCCGCGGGGAGCGAGGGCTGAGCCGGGGCCGGGGGCGAGGGGGCGAGGGAGTGGGCAGCTAGGGAGCTGGGGCCGGGTGGGGCGGTCGGCTCGCGGAGAAGAATGGCGAGCCGAGGGGCGGGGAGCGGCGGGCGGGGGAGGGGGAGGGGCGGCCGGGAAGGGGGAGGGGAGAGAGGAGAAGCACGCAGAGGTGGGGGCGAGCCCCTGGGGCCCCCGGGGCGGGGGGGCCAGGAATTGTGGGGGAGGGGAGCGGTGTATAGACGGAAGGCGGAGGGAAGGAAGGGAGCGAGCGGGGCGGAGCGAGAGAAGGGCGGAAAGGGTGGCCGAGCGCGGGCGGAGGACGGAGAAGGGGGCGGCGCGGGCCGGAACCTCGAGGTACGTGCGGAAAGGGGCTCTTCCCCGGGTCGGGAGGGAGTCCAGCACGCGAGGCTTGCGGGAGCGGGGTAGACCTGGAAGTAGCGGGAACATCAGAAGGGGGACTGGGTGGGAGGCGGGTGGGGGATAGGGCTCTGAGGTTTGTTCGAAGGGACGTTTCAAGTCGCGGGGGAAGCCGCTGGGAGAGACAATCGGGAGGGTGGTTAGGAGGACGAGCGATCCAGGTTCTTTTGTGGGTGGATGAGAGACTAAAGAGCGGGGTGGGGTTCTGGAGGAGCGAAGTACTTGAGGTTCAAGAGGGAGGGAGCAGGGAACGATTTGGAGAATGAGGGTGGTAGAAGAACAACGTTTAAACAGTGATCTTTGGGAGGAGGGTGGACGGTTTGGAAGATTACTCCAGCGAGAGGTGTGGAGGAATGCAGCTTAAAGGATAGTTTCCTCGGGAGGGAGCAGAAAGGGTTAAATAGGTTGGTAGGAAGTCCCAGCGAAATTCTGGGGGTGAATCGGAGGGGGTGGGGAAGAGAGGGGAAGCGGATTGAGAAGTCCCAGAAAGTGGGCGGGACTAGACATAGGAAGTGTTTGTAGCTCCAACTGGAGGGTTGGGAGGGGGCCGGGGCAGAGGGTGAAGATGGGGGCCGGTGGGAGGAGAATACAGGGCAGTGTGAGACCTCCAGCAGGGCTAGAGAGGCGGGGCTTTGGGGAAGATAGGGGGTCACAGCTGTAAGACAAGGAAGAGAGTTGAGATGAGGCTGCAGAGTAGCAGAAGATGGAGAAAACTGGAGTAACTCAGATCGACTGAAGCCATCTTTTCCACCTATTGTCTGCAAATACCAGTAATTGATTCCCCCCCATCATGGGAATCCTAAAATGTGATGGGAAAGTACCACGTGTATGCATAGTATCCACACATGTTTTTGAACACACTCTTCACTAATGAAAAGTTTGGAAGCATTCATTTCCACTTACCCTCCATAGCCCCTTTTGGGAGGGAAGCAAGGTTCTCATTTAGAAACCATTTTAGTGCTTAATGACATAAGCCTGTCAGGAGATAAGATTTTCCCTTTGAAACTTAAGACCATCCCCTTCAGTCACAAACCACAATAACACTGCTAATAAAAATAATCTGTGTTCATTTGTATATGAAAACTTCCTGAATTGTTCATTTGGTGGAAAGGCACATAGAGAAGTAGTGGTCTTTAGAGAAAAGAGGGAAAAAAAATAAACCTTTCAGAACTTAATTCTTGAAGCAGTTCGGTGAACCTTGACTGTCCTGTTTGAATCGTTCTCCCATTATGTAAACTGGGTTTTACTCTGATAACCTCCTGCTTTTGTAGGATGTTTTAGTCCACTATAAACGTTACTAATATAGCATTAAGTCATTCTGTTGGACATATACTAAGAAAATGCCAAGTTCCCCACGGATAATACATAGTTTGACCCTAAAAGCTTACCATGTTTTAGGCACTGTGCTGAGGACTTTACATTCATAACCTCATTAAATTTTCACAACCATTTGAGATAGGTTTGTTCTTACGCTCAGTTTATTGGTGGAGAAACAAACCTAAAAGGTTAGATTATTCCCGTGTCACACATAGGATAAGTGACAGAAATCCAGGTCTGATGACTTTGAGTTCTCGTTGCATTCCAAAACAACAGTCTGGGAATGAATAAAAGTTCAGTAAATGCTAAGTGTTGGTCTGGCAATTTGAAAACATTTTGTGTCATGTATTTTTTTTAAATAAAAAGTTGAATCTTTTATATTATGAACTGTAAAACTAAAGCCTTTATTCTCTATCTTAAAATAGAAGATGAAAAGTTGTAATGAAAATTTATAAAATACTAGTGAGCTTTAGTAAAATTTAATTATTTGTCATTACTATGAAGTTCCCTTGTTCAGAGAAAAGCTGTATGTTCTGTTTATTTGGATCCATGCTATACTTTCTTTTGCCACATTCTATTTTGGGGACAGTTAACCATTATTGAAGATCATTGCTCATTCATTCTGTTTTCTGTAAGACATTAGTAGTCTTAACATTTAACAGTTTGTAAAGCAAATTATAAGACTTCAATTTTGTTCAAGATTAAAACAGTGACAAAAGAATGTCCTCTTTTCTTGGCTCATTTTGTCTTATACTAGTATTGAATTCTGGAGGTGACATTGAGTAGATCTCTAGGGATTTCAAAAAATCTAAATCTCACTAATTGAATATGATAAAAAGGTTTGTTTTTGACTGGCTACCCCAGAGATGTAATAGGTACTTTGACTGTAGTTGTGTAGGTTACTCACTTGCCATTTTGTAGAAATGAGAAAGGCCGGTATTTGTAAAGCAGTCAGAAGTTATGCATAGGTACTGTATGCCAGGAGCTGTGGGAGAGGACTGCTGGAGAGGCCATATAGTGAAGGGATTAAGGGGTCACATCTCACCTCTACCATTTAAGAGCTGTGCCCAGTTACTTTGAGTTTCTTTTAAGCATGTTTCCTCATCTGTGAAATGGGAATAAGAGTGCTTACATTGTTAACGTGGTTCTCACGATGAGATGAGAAAATCCAATAAGTGTCCACAAAAGTTTAGGGATGGGAGAAATGAAGCTTTTTGTATTATAATGCTTTGCCTGGATTTTTCTTCTTAAGTTGTATTTGCACTCTGATTTTCAGGTGTTTGATAAAGACTTTAATTGTAACTACATTCAAAATAGGGATAGAAGTCAAACCACAGTTAAATAAGGTATTTATGAAGTGCCCGGATTGATACTGTTCCAGTTAACTCTTCTGAATTTTGTGTAGGGCTCCATTGTGGCTCTGGATTGGTATTAAGAATACTGGTTTCTTTGCTGCACTATAGTTTGTTCAGGGGTCTTGAAGTTACCTGGACCACTGTCCTGAGAAGTATTAGTGTGACTTTACCTAGGATCTCCAGACTGGATCCATGTCTTAAGACAGGATGACCTGGGGCAAACCCATTTCTAGACATTTTGAAGACCCATAAAAAAGCTCTAAAAAAGAAAGAAAGAAAAAGAAAATATCTAGTGTTAATTAGAATGTATAAAGTGCTTTAAAAAAGTGTTTCCTTTAGAAAGCTAAAGTTACTACGTTAGGAATACAAAACTATATTGTTAAGTGATGTGAAAGCCCAGAAAAATTAAGCAGAAAAAAATTTCCCCATATTTTGAGCTACGGGGGTGGGAGGGGTTGAAATAATTCGGGGGAAAGAGGTTTGGTTTTTTCCCCCCACTTTGCCATTGTTCCAGGTCCATACTCCAGTGTGGCCTATGAGACTCCACTGTGAAGTACAGTCAATTAAATGTTTTTCAAAAAGTGTAACATCACAGAAGTTTTTCCTTGGCTCTACAGTTACACACATTATCAATTTAGAATTATTATTCTTACCTAGAGATAAGTAAGACGGTCTTCACCCAATCTGGGATTAAACTCAAGACAGAGAGAGATGCCAGGCAAGCTCTTCCTTGGACTCCTTTTAGATTGTATTTTTCAGGCTGTGTCTTCAAATGTTTTTAATCTGCAGTTTCTACATAAGCAATATCTTAGAACAAACATAGAAATTGTTCTTCATTGTTGGAATTAGCTGAGACTGAAGACTTAGAAAATTTGTTGTACAGAAAGTATTTATCATAATGTTACATTTGTTATAGTTGATAGGACATGATGTGTATTGTACTACCTCACTGCTTCATTTTCCTACTGCCTGCCTACTGTCAAGGGTATAGGGACAGGTTGGGCTGCATGTTGTCAGATCCTTTTTAGTCAACTCCACATTAAGTGTGATACACAGTCCCTGTTGGCTCCATCAGGTGTGTCCTCAATGAAGTGCCCAGGTATATCTGCCTACTCTAGCCCTGAGAACAGTTGTCTAGAATAGTAATCTCAAGGAGTAAGAAAAGGAATAATTAAATTCAGGTGATTGCCTATTTTAAGGCATTAAAATAGAAATTTAAAGATTTGAGAGCGAGCACACATGAGTTGGGGGTGGGGGGAGAGGAAGAGAATCTCAGACACCGTGCTGAGCATGGAGCCTCATGTGGGGCTTAATCTCACAACCCTGGGATCACGACCTGAGTTGGACACTTAACTGACTATGCTACCCAAACGCCCCTAAAGTAGAATTTTAAAATTTGCTAAAGGAATGCCTTCTGCACTTTTTACTAATTTAGTAAATACACTCCTATGTAGGTAAACATAGCCAGGTCAATCCACAGGTTCCTGTGGACTAGACTCTTGGTGTGAATTAAGTGGGTGTGAACTTCATTTGGGTTCACATCTGCAGCATCCCAGTAGGACTAGCACAAGCTTTTACCAGTCGATTAGGTACAGCAGCAGAATGGTGAAGCTGTAGGCCACAGAATTTTTATTTTCAGGAGCATTGGTAGGTGTTTGCCAGTATTGAGAGGTAAACTAAGGCAGGGCCTACTGTATAAGTTGGTAAAGCTGTGTACTCACAAGCGCTGGGGATTAGTATGCAGGTATAGCTTTTCTGACCCAGCTATCAGGCATGTTTTCCTTTTACCCACTTGGGCCACTGTTACAAATTCCTTTTCTAACAGGAGGCTGTTCAGGAAATGTGGAATGCACTGAAAATACTACTGCATCTCCCTTAAATTCATCTCAAACATGTTTCCAAAGGCCTTAAAGATTGATTTCCTTCCCTGCCATGGCCTTCCTAGAACTTGAGTATCTCTGTGAACACTTAATCGCTTCTCAGAAACCACCTATATATTCCTATAATTACATCTATCAAGGAACATAGAGTGTATTATCAGTCATCAAAAGCTTAGTTATAAGAACACTTTAATCTATATGCATTTATTAACCTTTAGAAACTTTTTAACTTCTAGTTATTGAGTCTTTTTTGATTCGTGGCTAAAATATACCCACCATTCTCCAAATTATAGTCAAAATTATAGTGTGGAAATACTGATGTGTATTTTCCATTCTCTAAAAGAAACAGTTGTCCTTAAAGCATTTTTGCATATATGTGGTCTTCACAGTAGTTTAATGAGTCAGACAATTGAGGTACTAGCCCCATGGTCATTAAGTGACTTGTGTATGATGACATGGTGAAGAGTTCTGCACTTGCAGGCTGGAACCTGACTTTAAGTCTTCTGATTTTAAATTGTAATCCTTTCTACTTCAAGAAACCTTAGAAGAATTTTAACAGTGCTTTTGGTTTAGTTGGTTCCTAAGCCTTGTGTATTTGTTCTCAAGCAGCACCAGTTGTGGTGCTGCTGCAGATGGTCTGACTTACAGATGCTTTCTTGATTGCCCTTCTGACCAGCTCTTCCGTGTATGCTGTGCCACCTGATGCTTTGATGCCTTTCATTCTCACTAGTACTTGGTTTTCTCCTTTGGAAGTGCACTGATTAGGAGTGTAGATAAAGACAAGTGACCTCGGTTCTTAGGCGTGTACAGCATCTGATTGATAGTTAAAAAAAAAAAAGTTAGCTATTGTTTATAGTTGAATTTGAAGACCGGTGAATTGACTGACCTTATGTTCCTAGAGTATATTTGGTGCTCAAAAATAGAGAAGTTCTGCTGTCCTGTAAGGTTCTTGGCAATGTACTTTCCCCTGGAGATCCAAAGTGAAGGTTAACACCAATGAAAAACCCTGTTTAATGTTTGAATCCAATGTTTGCTAAGCTTGAGCACAATGATATCTATTAACATACAGTACTACAGTTGATAAACACTGGACTAATAACTTTCCCCTAAGTTCCATTGATTCATTGGAAGGACTTATACAGAATGTGTAGTTTTGATCCCCCACCCCCTCAGTTCCCCATGAATCTATCTTTCCGAGAAAGACTAATGAAGCCAGTTGTTTCAGGCAAAAAATATTTTAATCCATTCTTCTAGAGTACCCCAAACTTGCCACCAGGTGGTACTGTTGCATAAAATGAAAGTTGATTGTCCGGGTCTTTCCAAGTAGATGGTAAAACACGTATTGAAAGTCACGTTAAAAATCCGCTTACCATTCATTCACTAAAATTACCTGAAGGTCTTTTTTGTTTCTTGGCTTTTGTTAGAAGCAGTCCTTTGAATCTTGAAATACAACCAAAGTGTTAGACATGAGGTTTATATTTTATAACATCACCAAAGGGAAAAGTAAAATCTAAGTTAATTTCGTTTTTTTTTTTTTAGAAATATGCAGGATAGAAAAAACATTCTTGAGAAAGGCAGGTTAGCATAGTGGTCAGCAGTGTGGACTCGATGTTTTGGGTTCAAATTCTGGCTCTTTGACTAGTAAGTACATGACCTTGAGCATAATTATAACACCTGTTAACTTTCTATATTACTGTTAACTCTTGGTGATCTTAAGCAACGTACATACAGTGTCAGTTCAAAAATATTTGCAGCTTATACCATTGTTAGGGAAATGAAAATCTGTCTTAAGGCACTAAGAAAAATGCCTCACACATAGTACGTGGTAAACGTTAGCTGTTGTTACTATTATCCTAAATTTTTTTTTCCTCTACAGCTTGCTTTCAGTTGCTTTTTAAAGACGGAAGGCTCATGGTGCAAATTGTTATTTCCAGGTGAGTACATTTTGCCACTTTTTTGTTTAGTTTGAATTAGTAGGGTTATATAGGTTTGACATTTTCCTGGAAGCATCAGGGTCCTCAGGTGCGTGTTGCACATATCCTTGCATTTCATCTGTAGTTCAGTGCCTAGCACTGCCTAATTTCCCAAAAACTTGTGCTCAACAAAGAGTTCCTTTGGGCCTTGAATGGTGGTGTAGGACACTATTCAGCCTTCACCCCTCAAAAATATTGTAACCGCCAGCCCTTTGCTTGCAGTGCTGGGGCTGGAGGCCTGGCAGAATGGGTGCTGATGGAGCTACAGGGGGAGATCGAGGCTCGCTACAGCACTGGATTAGCTGGAAACCTCCTGGGAGACCTACATTACACCACTGAGGTGAGGGGACCTTTCTTTCCCTGCCTAATGCCTCAGGAAAGCAAGCTACACCAAGGTGGTGCTCCCAGGACCCAGAGTGAGGACTGCCCTCAGGTTTGTTATGCGAGGTCTAGCTAATCTAAGCTATCTGCTTGTGTTCCCCCAACCCCTGCAGCAGCAGGGAAGTTTAATTTTGGGGAATCTGGAAAAGTCAACAGTCCCCAAAAGTGGAAATTCTCTTACTCGGGGCTAGAAAGAGTAAAAAGGGCACGAGGGTGGTTGTCTGGTGTGGCTCTTCAACATCAGTAGAGCCATACCAGGGAGTGGAGGTGCCAGCATTGCTTGCCAAGAGCATCTCTAGAAGGCCCCTGCATGTTACTACCTTGCCCTGAACCTCAGGCATTTCATTCTTATTCTGCCAAAGGGAATCCCTGTGCTGATCGTGGGACATCATATCCTGTATGGAAAAATCATCCATCTGGAGAAACCTTTTGCTGTCCTTGTCAAACACACTCCTGGGGAGCAGGACTGTGATGAGCTTGGCTGCAAGACTGGCACTCAGTACCTGGTGACAGCACTCATCAAAAACAAGATCCTTTTCAAAACTCGCCCCAAGCCCATTATCACCAACGTCCCCAAGAAAGTATGAAAGAACCCCGGATTTTCCCTAGAGAGCGGCCAACTCCCTGGACTCGTGCTCAGTTGCCACCTCGAGGACGGCTCGACGGTTCCCTGGGACCACAGGGGGGTCCTGTTTTGAACACAGGCCACCCACTGGGCATGAATTCTGATCCCTTTCTTATGGCAACTGGTTCTCTTGGTGGAAATCTGGCCCCATTTCCAAGGAACCCATCGCCTTTTCCATCTTCATCAGGCTCATTGGCTTCAAATCCAGCACCTTTCCCTGCTGGTGCTCGTGACCCAGGCATGGCTTCTTTTCCGAGAGGGATGAATCCCACTGGCGCTGGTGCAGTTTCTTTCCCAAGGCCTGGTGGCCTCTTGGGCCCAGGCCCGGGCCCAGGCCCAGGCCCATCTCTGAACCCTAGGGCAGGGGCTCTTCCAGGCCCAGGGCCTCTGACTAACCCCAGGTTAGGGGGTCTCCCGGGGCCAGGTCCTATGTCGAACCCAAGGGCAGGTGGTCTCCTAGGAACAGGTCCTGACCCCAGAAGTGGTGGCCCTATGGGCCCTGGTTCTGGGCCCAACATGAGAACAGGTGTCCTCTTGACTTCTGGTAATGGTCCTCCTAATCCTAGGCCGGTTGGCTTGGGACCAGGACCAAGTTCTAACCTGAGATCAGGCTTCGTTGGTACAAACCCTGCTCCGAGGTCGGGTATGTTTCCAGGCCCAGGCCCGGGTCTTGGGCCCAACCCCAGGGCAGGTGGCCTGGGCCCAGGTCTTGGGCCCAACCCCAGGGCAGGTGGCCTGGGCCCAGGTCCTAATGTGGACACCAGAGCGGGTGGCCTTCTCGGCACAGGATCTGGTCTTAACTTAAGAATGGCAGGACCTCAAGGCCTAGATCTTGCCCCTATTCTAAGAGCAGCAGGTCTTTTAGGAGCAAATTCAGCTGCTTTCTCACAGGCTTCTGGAAACATGGGCACAAGCCCATCCTCTATGGCAAGAGTACCTGGCCCCATAGGCCCAAACTCGGGTCCTGGCTCTCGGGGAATTGGCCTTCCAGGGCCCAATCCATCTCCCATGTCCAGGGCTCCCGGCCCCATAGGTCCCAATTCAGCTCATTTTTCAAGGCCAGCTGGGCCCATGGGGGTAAATGCTAATCCCTTTCCACGGGGGACAGGTTCAGGAGGGCTCAATCCTGCTGCCTTCTCTCAGTCTTCTGGCACATTGGCTTCAAATCCAGCTACCTTCCAGAGGTCTGCTGGCCTCCAGGGCTCAAGTCCAGCAATTTTCCCAAGAACTTCTGGGCCACTAGGCCCCAACCCAGCTAACTTCCCAAGGGCCAGTGGCTTGCAGGGTCCAAACCCTGCTGCCTTCCCAAGGTCTACTGGCCCATTAGGCCCTGGTCAGGTTACTTTCCCTAGGTCAGCTCCTGGGCCCCTGGGCTCTTCTCCAGCAGGCCCTGTGGGTATCAACCCAGCTCCTTTTGCAAGGCCAAGTGGGACCATGGGTCTAAACCCAGCTTCCTTTCCAAGGATGAATGGCCCTGTAAGCAAGACTTTGGTCCCATTTCCTAGAGTGGGGAGCCTCCCTGGCACAAACCCAGCTGCTTTCCCCAGACCAGGGGGCCCAATGGCTACAATGTACCCAAATGGAATGTTACCCCCTTAAACACCTTTTTCTTTCCAGGACCATTTTGGTTTTCAAGTACCGTGGTTCTGGGCGGGGCTGTGTTTTAAGTAAAAGGGTAGATGTGGAGCTACAGTCCGAAGTACCTAGCTGGGGCTCAAGTTCAGATGAGCCATCTTTTTCCTCTGCTTCTTTCTTGACTGAAGGTGAAATGTTATTTGTGGGAGACGGACTACAGCAGGTGGGAATGATCCTGACTTTGAGATAAAGGATCACCAGCCCTCCAGAAGCCTGCTGTGCTTTTGTCCCACAGCTTTCTGCCCCTTGTTTCTTACTAGTTTCTTGAATTGTTCGTGTGGACTTTTCCTCAGGGATACATTGGCCTGCAGGTCCCAATTCATATGTAGTCCCCTGCTCACCACTGGAGAATCAGCTCACTGCTCTCTCGAAATGTTGTGCTGGTGAACGGACCATGCTTCAGCAGCTCTGACCTGGGCAGCTTGGACCTGGTCATCCTCTACTGCCATACCTTTCCCTGGGGGCTTGAACACAGAACAGGGAGGTGGGCAACCACTTCAGAGACCCACCAGATACACGTTCTGCTTGACTGACTGGGCCTGCAGCTTCCTTCTCCTGGGACTTAGAGGAGGCCAGAATCAAGGCTCCACCGCTCATCTAACTCCCTCTCCACTAGTACTCCCGATCAGAGAACCTCAAAATTTAAACTGACGTGGATGGGAATATGGGAATTGGGGTGGGGGTGGGGGGATTAAGGGGAGAAATCACTGTGCTTCGTTCAGCCTGACGTGAAAGGATGGTTGGTGTTTTTCCTGCATTGTATCTTTTCTTACCGTTTCTTTAATAAATGGGATGAGAGGGCTGCTGATGTCACTCCATTTTATTCTCTCTTCCCACAGGAAAGGAATTTTACCCACTGCTTTTCGTTGTTTCATTATCTGCCAGGTAAAATGCTGTCACTCGAGGAAGCAAGTGTTGACTTTTAGCTGAGCTAGGACTCCTTCATTTGCCAGTGATTTCACCAGAGACCTTGCCCATCCTCAACAATAAAAGTTAAGCCACCAGAGGTGTGCGCATCAACAAGGTGGGCCTGCTGTATTCCCTAGGTCCAGGGGCAGCTGTGACTACTTACCCTGTTGGACTTCCACTGCCAACTATTTTTTTAAAGATTTTAATTCATGAGACACACAGGGGCATAGGTAGAGGGAGAGGCAGGCTCCCTGCAGAGAGCCTGATACGGAGTTCAATCCCAGGACCCCAGGATCACCTGAGCCAAAGGCAGATGCTCAATCACTGAGCCACCCAGGCATCTCACTGCCAGCTATCTTGACAAAATTGTTTCTAGCCCAAGGACCTTTCTTGAAACTAGAATAAACCCAGTTTAAGTACAAGGAGGAAGCATTTCAGAGATAACCAGCATTATGTGAGAATCTTTATTTTGACAAATAAGTGCAGTATAAAATATTCGGCCTGAAAAGTAAAAAAAAAAAAAAAAAAAAGTAAAAATAAATATGTTTACAAATTATTGTAGAAAGAATACAAAAGGGTTAAAATTCTCAATGAGGAAAAACCAAAACGTGTCCAGTTGTATAAAGGCTCTTCCCGTATAAGAAATGGGGATAAAGCTGAAGACCCAGTTTGGTTTCGCTGCTGAAAAATGTACAAAATAACTTAGAAAAACCAGTCGAGGTCAAACGTTGTGAGCCTACTACTTGTACCTGCCTACATTTGATGTCAGCAAAGTTGATAACCACAGTGCAAGGCAGAGTGGGCAGTAGGACAACCAGGAGTTCTCCATCCAGGTATCTATTCTATGTTAACGTTCAAGTAAAAGCTGAAGAAAAGCCCTTAGTGAAGTCTGAGCTCTGCATTTGGCTGACCGGATTTCCTCCATTGTGGTGCTCAAAATACTTTATTTGGCCAGCAAAAACACGGAAGAGCCTGAACAGCTGCCTTTAACAAATGCCTGCTGCCTCTTCCCAACCTTCATGGGTTGGGCCCAGCACCAACCAGCGGTCTTATCAGAAGCTCGAGGTCTGTGTGATGCAGCAGTGTTGGCTGCGCCTGGAAAACCCTCGTGTTCATGGGAGATGGGAGAAAGCACCAGGGTTTGCCAGTCTGGCTCAGAGCACACTTTGTTCCTTGGCAGGAAGCACCTGGGCACACTAGAGGCTTGCCCCCTCAACCACAGTCTCCCTTAGTGCTGGTTCTGAGGGGTTAGCAGGCCCTGCTGAGAATGGGCATTTGGAGAGAGAACAGGCACACGTGCAAGTAAGCAACCCCCAAATCAAAGGCTTAGTCAAGATCCCAGGGTTCAAACCCAAGAGCTGAGAATAGTCTCGATTGTAAATCTCTAGAAAATGCCTTTTCCTCACCCCCCTCCCCCCAAAGCAGAAGAAAAATCAAAGCTTCAAGGGGCATGAGTGAGAAAGGAAGAAACTTAGGATTTAGGAACCAGTTCCATCTCTGAGTTTGTTTTCTGCAAAGTAGCAAGCAGCAGGTGCGATAATGACTATCCATAACTTGGCTGTAAGAATTCCCTGGAGAAGCCGCTGAGAATGGGTGGTCTCAAAGCTGACCAGATTGGATGTGAGGCTTCACGTAGGGAACCCTGAAAAACTTTTCATTGGCGATGATTGTCAAGAACTGTAGCCTGCAAGTCCCGCACCCTTAGCCAGCAGCTAAGGAATCTGTCCGAGCAGTTCTAAGATTGTGGTTAATTTGGTCAGAGGCTCCTAATCATTTTCCCCTCACCTGATGAGGGCAGGGTTGCCTACTGCAGAGGGGCCTAGGAGAGCCCAGGCTCTGCCTCGGTTGCACCTTGCAAAACTTACCTAATGAGAAAGAGTGGAAGAGGTGACTGCATCACCTCCAAGAAGATGAGGAGACGGTCTTAGATTCAGAGCAGTGTGAGAGAGGAATTCAGGAGTATACATGGTGAAGTACCTGAGCCCTCACTTCCTTTCTGAGCGTGTTGGGGTTTAATCTTCCTGGTAGATGACCGAAACATTTCCTCTCCCCAGCAGAGATCACAGACAGGTGCATCTAGATGTTGGACAGTTTCCAGGTGAGATACATTCGGCCCAAGGCTTCCAGATAGCCCATGGCCTTTAGCACCACCACCCATCTTTGCTCCTGCTGGCAAACTAATTTTTAACATATATATACATACACTTAAAAGCAGTTCAGTGCTAACTCCCTGCTAGTTTGGCTCATCCTTGGGATGTTGAGATGTGGAATGGAGCAGGTCACATAGAAAAGCACCATTCCTGGACCCTGTTTTCTGATGCCCAAAGATCAGGCTTCTGGGCCTTTGTATCTCAGGCACAATCTTATTGCATTGATAGCTAGATTTGGGGGTGGGGGTGGGGACACATTACTAGCTGG